AAGGTAAATGTTAAAAATTAGATTCGAGACAATCTGTATCTCTGAGACGTGGGTTTTGAGCTCACTTCCCTATATATTTTAAAAGAAGCGCATTTAAAATATACTATACTAATATACTACTACTATTTAGGTATTGATATATAAAAACATAGATACACTTTTCCTAGCAAATATCTCTTCAAAAAGTGGTGACCTAAGAGCCTGTGAACGCCAGACCTTCGTCATTTTATAAAGGCTGAAAGTTTGTCAGCGCATGCTCCCAACACAGATAAGTACGATGGACCATTATGAAGTTCAGGCTATGGTGGCTTTGGCAGGTACACGGTACTAAAGGTGTGTAAATACCGATCTAAATTCGTCAAATGATAAAGTGTGATGTTTTGGTATTACCTTCAGAATATTATTATAAATCACGTCATTCAATGCCAGACACTTAACATCGTAGCAAACCCTTGCCAGGCACCCTTTTCATGAAATCATAATTCTACTTACGTTATAGTATAAAAGCAGATTTTTATATTTAATACTTGGGTAATAATTAGATGATTTATAAGACTGCTAGCATAACATTTATTACAGACCATGAAAAATGTTCCAAACAAGTTGGCAGGCATTTCTAAGAAAATGTTGCAAATGGTCACCAAAGAAGCGCTAAGAATTGTCTTTATTTTTGATGTGCTTTCACGGGCTCTTCCTCTATGGCGTCGACATGTCACGTTAAATCAAACCAAAGAATAAAATTCAGAAATCGAATGTTCTATTATCTAAACACAAATTCGTACTTAGGCACACCACATAAAGAACTTTTTTAAATGAAATAAATTGCATTTTAATTTTGTAATCCAGAAAACAATGAACGAAAGAGACTTTAAAGCGCACAATTTCGAATGTGCACTTCTTTTTCAGGACACTTTTGATACGCCAATAATTGTATATTGATGACTTTTTGTATATTATAATAAGCATTGAGGTAAATGTTTAGGAAAATTAAAAGTCACTCCTTCTTCTACCAAGCATACCTTGATTTCAGCCGAATAAGAGGTACTACAGTAAGAGTCGCTTCGTTATCATTTATTTACTTTAGACTTTGCAATCTTTAAAGTGATATGTAACTTGCTCTCTTCTATGTATTTTAATTAGTTTTCATCATACTTTACTAGTTTCAGACTCTTTAAGAGTTTAAACTTTAATGTATCTTTTCAGACTTAATTGAGTTATAATTAAAAATTTTACATTAATTTAAATAATTTGCCATGCGAGTGTGATACTTCAATATAGTGAAACAGCTCCGAAGGATTTTCCAGGAAAACAAATATTTGGCAATCAACAATTATATTTCTCGCTTTTTCTGTAAACTCATTTTATTTTTATATTCCTAATTTATATAATGCGAATCACCGACTGTCCACTTGACACATCAAAAATATATTGTCAAATCTACAAACTGGCATATAAAATAACTGAATGTTACAATAGTGTGTATCTTTTCACTAAATACAGACTATGACCAAGAGTTACACAATATGAGCTCATATCTATACATATAATAAAATTGTAACTAAGCCGAATCTGTACATTAAATATTTTTTGGAAAATCTTATTGAAATAGATATTATTATCGATACAGAGGCCGAATCTATAGTTTTTAGAATTTTTGTCTGTCCGTCCGTCCGTCCGTCCGTCTGTCTGTATGTCTGTTGCCGCATCACAGAAAAACCACTGGAGGGATTTTTACAATTATTTGATAACATGAGCTGAACCTTTTGTGGTGATTGTGATGGTGTCATGAAAGGAAGAGGAATGGAAATAGATACCTTAGGAAGGTTCCTCTTCCAGTAAAACCTTGGAATTTTGGCATTAAATTAATTACGATAAGTACTTAGCTAATTATTTTTAGATCTGCCACTGCCTCTTATTATAGCAAAAATATTTATTTCTTTTTATTTTTATTCAAATTTTATTTAATAAAAATAATATGAACTGGAAACAAGTGTCCTTTTGTTAGCCTTAATATAAAAATCGTTGACCTTAACATTTTGATGAAAGGTTCGTCCCTTTGAGATCAAATAAAATAATGATGATAATTGATACATCTTTTTGTTCCGCTCAGTAAAATACATCACAGGCTCGTAGTTACGGTAATATAAAAAAATATTGTTGAATAATAATGTTTATGATAATATAATAAAATCGGATAAGTGCTAGTCTGGCAGCCACACCAAAGGTTCCGTAGCATAAAACACTAATAGATATTATTGGTACATAAAGTCTTACATAAAAATAAAATAAAATACTTAAATATATTGTTTATTGTGTGCATAAATAAATTTGCATTTAATTGTATTTCAGTGAGAAATAAAGTTTAAACAGCGGAACGCAACTGAAAAAATCGAGATATTTTCCCCCAGTAAAAAGTATTCTATATATTGACCCGGATAACCAGCTACCTTCAGACCAAATTTCAAATTTCAAAATCTGTATATTGGTTTTCTCTTTGCGATGCGTTCATACATACAGTACATCAGTAAAGACAGACACACAGACAGAAAAAAATCTAAAAACTATAGATTCAGCCTCTGTATCGATAATAATGACTATTTCATTTAGATTTTCCAAAAAATATTTTGATTCAGTTAGAATTTTATTAGGTATAGGTATAGATTTCGCTGAAGGATTTTTCACCTGAGGTGGGGTAAAATTTCACTTGGCTACCAAACTTGAAGCCCACCCCTGAACGAACACACGAACGGATAAACGTCCATAACAGCAATTTGTACGTAACACAATTTGATCTCTATTCCCATTGATCGAAATCACTCTTAATTAAAAACGATTGTGAATTTTCAAAGCTTAGTCTATCCAGAAAAACCTTTTCCAAATGAAAACCGGGTTTTTGTTTAGTCAAAAACAAATGAATTCAAACCTTTGTTCTTTAAGTCCTATAAAATTTGTATGGGCACATAAAACGATTAATTTACTGTTCATCACTTAAAACGATTTGTTAAGAATAATGTTGTGGTATGGACGATTTTGTTCTATTTGATAAAAATCTATACATGTAATAAAATTTTAACTGATCGCTGTCTGTACATGGAAGATATTAGAGAAAAACTTTTATTAGGGGTTTTTATTAATGTAATAGGACAAAACAATGATTTTTAGAATATTTGTCTGATTGTCTGTTACGCAGTCTATTATAAATACAAAACAGTTTAGTATCTTTTTCCTCTGTTTGTCAACCGATTTTCTTTTTTTATTTAGTAGCTAGTGTTGTCACTAGCTTATGTTTTCAATTAAATTTATTTTATATATATATTTGACGGAGGTGGATTTAGTTTACTTTTTATTGCTTGTTACAGAAACAGTCTATTGATCACAATATTTTTGATAAATTCTGAATAATTCATTTGTTTTTGAAGAGAATTTCTGAACTTTTCACTATCCAATTATACAGCTGAGTGGAAAGTTTTGGACATTTCCATTTACAACTTACATAATTATAAATTGAAATAGCCAATAGGCTACCAAGTTGATCATTTTTACGTTTAGTTTAACGTTAACGTTACGTAATTAGAGGTTAAAACAAAACACTTATTTTTAATACTAACATCACACTCTTGTTTCGTCCGGATGCGTACCTAAGTATCTTTTGTATTTTTAATAGGGCGACTTTCAAGGGTTTTTAATTTTAACGCCAGAACCCTTAATATTTCCGAAATAAATTCACGCTTTATTTAGAACTACAAACTTCTCTATCTTTTAGTAAAAGTTGCATTAAAACCGGTTAAGCCGTTCCAAAGATTACCCCGGATAAGAAACAGAAATTTTCGTAATGGTGCCGTATAAATAACTTTTCGTGGTTAAGATACCCATAGTTATTTTGAAATTACTAACAGAAACCTCAATTTTATTTATATGTCTAGATTACATGCAGGTAACGTTAAGTTGGCAAAATTTATTACTGATATGAGCTCATATTGTGTAACTCTTGGTCATAGTCTGTATTTAGTGAAAAGATAGACACTATTGTAACATTCAGTTATTTTATGTGCCAGTTTGTAGATTTGACAATAGATTTTTGATGTGTCATATAGACAGTCGGTGATTCGCATTATATAAATTAGGAATATAAAAATATAAATATAAAATGAGTATACGGAAAAAGCGAGAAATATTTATTTATTTATTAAGAAAACAACAGCATCACATGAGACAAATTAATGTAAAAACAATGTGTACTTAAATAAACCCAATTACAGTTTTCTTCTTTAAGTTAACCTCCTAGCGCCCAAGGATAATTTAAGGAGGTTAGATTAAGCACCCAATGTTCTTCAACAAGTATAGTGATTGCAGCCCAAATATAAAAGAGTCATAAAAATAATGATACAGTGAATTTTTCTTAGCAATTTTTTAGCGCCTTCATACCATAAAATGCAATATATTTTTGCTATCCAAAACTAAAAAAAATATCCTTTTCGAAGAACATCGGGCTGCTATTATTATAGAAGATATATTCTTCATGTCTTCTGGTAAGCAAATTGGGCTATTACATGAATAAAAACACTGAATAGAAATTATTGTATTTATTGTGAATATTTCACACAGTTTTATTAAATAAATCAATCACATATTCTTAATAGTAATACTAGTTCAGTCTTAATATTGTTTGGCTTGGCTTACCACTACTAAAAATATTTTATCATTTTATGGCAAAAAATAACAACAAAGTAAATCAAATTTTACTAGTACCCGAGACATTGAATTAATAACAGAATTTATGTTTTTAAATCGTAAAGAAAATGTAGTTTTTTCATACATAACAAAACAAAAACTCTTATCAACTTAAGTAAACAAAAAAATTTTAAATTAATCTGATTATAAAATTAGGAACCTCAAACAAATTTTATCTTTGGACTAATCAATTTTCACTGTCATAATTGTCATCGCCGCTTGAGCTGGACGGTATATTTTCTTGCGAACCACAAAAGGGGGATCGTCTAAATCTTCTTCGAATAGCAAATATCTTCTAAGTCTGATTTTTCCAACAAGTTTTCAATGTGTACCGATTGCAACTCTAAAAAAATAAAGTATGTTTTAAATACCAATGTTCTTCCATAAGAACATGAAATTATAGAACATACGCTCGCTGTTCTCACACATGTACATATTGCTCAAGAGTGAAAAAAAAAACACTTTTTCAGAGGAATTTGCCTAAAATATTAAGACATAATGCAATTTAGTGTACTAAATTACATACTTACTTACTTTAAAACTTATTAGTCACTTGATTACATGCATAATTAGAGATAAAAACTGACCTTACCAAGTCTGCACTCCATGTGCGCCATTTTAATTACCGATGACAGTTTTTTTTTTCCGATTGGATCAGCTTAGTGTCGTATGAATATGGTCACTAACATGTCCACCAATCAAAGAGCATTAGTAAAATATAGCTATGCGCGGCAAAATTTAAAAATATTAAACAATAACTATTATGTTCTTGTGTAAGTCCACTGGGCCATCAAGAAAATGTTGTATCATATTTATCTGGGCGGTAATCAGGTTCGATATTATGTCCTAGTCCAAGGTCATTGGGCCTCACGAGGTACAGTACCTGGGCTACTGAGCTTTGCTCGGAGTTTTTGGCCTACAGTACAATTTTCTTTTTTTTTTAAAAGCTAAAAACTTGAATAAATATAAAAATAACAAAAAATAAATAAAAGTAAAAACTTTATATCCGACCGCGATTCGAACCTGTGCTTGTCAATCTTGCGCCTTGTTGTTTATGCCAGATGTTTATGCACGATGTTTATGCCAGAATGTGCGAAATTACCGACCATATTTAGTGTGGAATAATGCGAAAGAAAACCGCATGAAAACTCGAGAATAGGCGTTTTCTCAGACATAAGACTAATCTAGATCGATTTTTCGCCCCCGAAACCCCTTTTTATTCCTTGGACATATTTGCATGAAATTTCGTATGAATTGAGTACGGCAAAAATAATGTGTTGCGTATTTTAGCGTTTTCCAAAATTCAACCAATAAGAGGATAAAATAGGGGATGAAAGTTTGTATGAAACCTACCGTTTTAGAGATTTTATTTGTAGTTTTAGCGCGAGCGAAGCCGCAGATTCTGCTAGTATGATATATATGTTTTTTTTACTTACTTAAAAATAAATGTTTGACAATTTCGATAAATGCTTATGCTTATGCATATATTTAATATTACAACCAATCCCAATATACAAGAAAGCAGCACAGTTCGTTCCGGTCAAATAAAATTAACCAATAAAGAGAAAACGACGTGATTAAGAATATAAATCAGAGATGATGACAGACAAGAGTTCATTCGCTTTATACAGACTACATTGTGGCATTTTTTATTGAGGAAACGTAAATTGTACACCGATTCTATGAAACATGATTGATTTTCATGATATTGCGTTTCTATCTAACAATTATCTGTAGTCGAGCTTATTTTAATGTTCTACGTAAATCTATAGAAAATTTATAGTGTAATAGATAAGTTTTAACATATTTTTGATATTAATAATAATGGAATCAAAAATATATTTTGCGATTTTTATATGCTTTTAACATACAATTCTTAATTTACGTACACTTCAAAATCTCTTTAAATGTACGAGTTATGTCCGCTAGCCGCATTCACCCGCTAAATGGCAATTTCGATTCTTTGGGTGGAAAACGAACCAGCTCTCTTGTCACCAGTAGAGGCGATAAGACGAGGTACTTTTAAAGAAGAATTTAGAACTTCGATTTCATGGGTACAGTAGGTATATGGTGTAAAATCAGAAAAACAGACCGGCATAAGTATTATTTATATTATTATAGAAAACGGCCGTTTAGTTATTTTACTAAAGTTTTTATAACTAATACTTTATACCAATCCTAAGCGTTAAAAATATAAAACAAATACTTACCTATAACGGTTTAGAAATCGCTTTACCTTTCAAGTTAAAAGTTTCATTAGAAGTACTTTTATAATATAAATTTCCAATTATAGTGTTTATTTTATATTTTTCCTATAATATAGTTATTTCTAATTTTAGCGCACATTCCATATTTTCGTGTATTAGAATTAAACTTTTTTTTAACATTGGGAAACGCATTTAGGCACGAGGCGTAGGACTCACCGGCAAAGCCAGTACTACCCACTAAAACCCAACAAAACCTTCCCTCGTCTTAATGGGGCGTCGCATGATCGCTTACGCATTCAACTACGATGCCCCGACGGCAGGTCTGCCGAAGCAGCCCGCAACAAACACGGGGTTGCTTCAAGGTCCACTCTGCTATCAGAGAAGTACCAGGAGCAACCCGCATGATACACCAACCTCCGAAGAGGGCACCTCCCACCGCCAACCAAAGCGGGCCACCTCCCTGTGCGTTTCTTGGCTTCGCGCCCGGCTGTATTGCCGGGTACTACTGAGTCCCCCCACCATGATAAGGTGAACGCACGTTAAGGGGGAAGCCAGTACTAACCTAACCTAACACAACAGAACCTCCCCCGTCTCCCCCGTCTGAATTAGGCGTACCTCAACCCTAGTCCTGGACACATTATCTGTATATCGACCAAATCCCATCAACACGAAAAAGTGAAAGCCAGTTAAGAGTAGTAGTATCCAGTTAAGAGTAGTAGTATTAAAATGGGTGTGGAACTTTATAAATAAAAAGTTACACAAAAAGCTCGCCAGTCGTTTTTGTGATATTTCAAAGTTTAGTGTTTCAATATATAACTTCAACTTCCCATTGAACGTGAGTGCCGAGTTCGTATAAAGTTTACAAGAAACTTAGCCGAGATATAAGCTTCTTTATTCTTGTAAGATTAATTAGATAAGTAATTCTAATATTACAATGAACTAGTGGTATTGTTTTTAACTAAACTAAGCTTTTATAAGTTTAACTTTTTAATTTAATCTGTGATGTTGACTTTAACTTATTTCTAAATAGCAACTCATACTCGTCCTTATTCTATATAGTTTTACAATAATGTATGGAAGTTTGTCCGATTTGTTGACATTTATGATTACTGCTCCGCTATTTTGTGTTGTAGCGAGACCATATAGCCTTCCTATATAAACGGGTTATCTAATGCAAAATTTTTTTTAAATTGGATTAGTAGTTCCTGAGATTACCGCGTTAAAACGAACAAACAAACTCTGCCTCTTTGTAATATTACTATAAATTATCGTAAAGATTTGAAATTTTGTTAATTTGTAAAATCAATGAAGATGCTATAATTTGATACTATTTAGCTGATCTTGATGATGGAGACTGGAGGTGGTATCTTATGAATTGTTATTGGAAGAAAAAAAAAATACTGAACTGTTTTTCTTTCCCTATTTATCTATATCTATACTAATATATAAAGAGGTTCCCTGGATATCCCTGGATCTACTGAACCGATTTAGATGAAATTTGGTAAGAAGATAGTTTGAGACCATAAGGACATAGGGTAGTTTTTATTCCGGAAATCATCCATTAAAGGGGTAAAAATGGGGATGAAAGTTTGTATGGGGAAGCAACCTAGGGACGAACCCGAGCGAAGCGAGGGTGAGTCGCTAGTATATAATAAACTTAATTACTCAGTCCTTACAAATCCCATAAACAATTACATTTATTTACTTGACTAAGAATCTATTTACTCCACTGCAATTACGGTTCTGAAAGCAAAGCATATTTTGGTATAAATCACATTGCGAACCGTCAGTTGTTAATCAATGGCGATGATATTAATGAGCCACTATTGTCGTAGTGCAGAGATTAAAATGTAGATTCGTTTCTATGAAAAGGACTGTTTTGACTTTTACAGTCTATTTTGAAGAAAGTTTGTACGGTCCATTTCTTCATGAGTATAAAACAAGTTTGGTATTTTTGCTATAAGCTTTTCTATCTATGTTTGCTTATGGGACTTGGATAAGATACATTCTACAATTCTCATCGCTAACAGGAAAGTACTCATATAAGAACATAACATATCTAAACGTTATGACATGTTGTCACATTATTTGTTTATTAGTCTTTTATTACATACGTTAAATATAAAATCAAATTATCGAAGGGTTTAATAATAATAATATAATTGTCCTAACTGATTTTGGTTACAGCGGCCAATCTCGTCGAGACAAGCCAAATTCGTCGGAGCTACTATAACGAATAAGTGTGTGTCCTCAGATATAGCTACACTCTCTATTATCCAGACACTTAAGCTAAAAAAAGGAGCGAACCACGGAATGAAACGGTATTTTTTAACTTAATTATTCGTTAAATATTCATTTACTCATTTATAACAAAAGCAACTTAACGATAATGAGTTCATTAGTATAAAACTGTGTCGCAGTTATTAGCGCACGCCTCACAAGCGTCATCAATGACAAAAAAACTTTTCTTTTTTTTTTCTCTATTTTTATTTAGGGACTTTTATCCTTTTCGGACATGTCAGTCCCATCATATCTTAACCTAAGTACAGCATCATATATATATTATGGAAAAAGGGAAATAGATTCAATGTTGCAAAACCATATCCACCAAAATTTTAACAACATCAATACTTATTGGGTTCGCTAATATACTTAAGTATGGTCCAATATCATATCTATTAATATTAAGTTTTTGCATTATTGATTCCCTCTCTCTTTGATGTTTAACACATTCTACAAGGATGTGTTGAACATCGTCTATCATGTTACAACTACTACATAAGGGTGAATTTACCTTTTTCATAAGGTACGCAAATTTATTTGACGGATAATGTCCAGAACGCAGTCTATGTAAAACAACAATATATTTTCGATTTAGTTTAATGTTAAAAAACCATGGTACTCGAGGAGGCTCACACTGTATAGTTTTGTACCAAATACCCTTTTCTGTGCTTCTTTCGTCGAAATATTCTTTAAATTTTTTACAACAGATAATTTTAAATTTATTAAGTATTTCAGTGTAATAAGGCAAAATATTAAATTCAACTCCTTCCGAAATGGCTAGCTTAGCTAACTTGTCAGCCTCCTCGTTACCACTTAAGCCTATATGAGATGGAACCCATTGCAATCTTAGATTTATTTGAGAGTTATTCAACATGTGTATCCTTTTACACATTGTAGGCTATCGGTATACCTCTGCTATAACCAGAGGTGCACCGAGCCAAATGCTCTAAAGCGCTTTTGCTATCGGTGAGTATAACAAAATTTCCATAATCAAAATTCCTAATCATATAGTTAATTGCTTCTAATATTGCAAGGAGTTCCATGGTCAGAATTGACACTGGAGCGTCTACTTTTAACATACTAGATATTTGGTTTAATGGATCATAAAAGGCAGCACCGAGTTTATCATTCTTTTTTGCTCCATCGGTAAAAATTTTAAACCAATTTGGATACTTCCTGTTTATTTCATTTAAAATGTCAAATTTAATATAATTCTCTAAATTCTTTTTCGATTTTTTAACGCAATCTAAATTTAAGCTTATAACATTATTTAAACCTATATAGCTCAACCATATATTTAATTTAAACATTTCCAAAGGGTATGAGTTTTGGACCACACAATCTTTACAGTCACTATAAGCTGTACATAGCAAAGGTTTTTTAGCACGCTGTCAATATCTTTCGCAAATTGGTGCACAAAGGTTATTTAAAAGATCTATGGTAACATTATTTGATCGAGACATACTTTTACTACAAAACTTAAGGGCAAGATAATGTCTTCTCAGAGATAATGGTGGTATACATAGCTCACTTTCCATAACGTGGATTGGTGTACTTTTTATAAATCCTCCTATTATTCTGAGGACAGTATTTTGAACCTTGTCAAGCTTAGATAAATGAGTTTTTGCACAATTAGCATATAAAAAACAGCCAAAATCAAATTTACTTCTAACCAATGATATGTATAAGGTACGAAGATGCTTAGGGTGAATTCCCCAGCCTGGGCCTGTAAGTATCCTAAGTAAATTTAAACATTTAGAAGATTTTTCTACAAGCATATTCACATGATTGCTCCACCGTAGCGATCTATCCAGCGAAAGTCCTAAATATCTAACATTATCTTCAACAGATAACATATTATTATTAACGTTTAAATTTATGTTTAATCTCTTATGCCCTCTATTAAAAATACATACTTTAGATTTCTTTGCAGATAACTGAAGCCCTATATTATCTAGTAAAATCATCATAGCGTTTAATGCCGCTTGTAAATTAGTCTCGCAATCATTCAAATTTTTGTGACTCGTATACAGTACAAAATCATCTGCGTACTGAGCCACAATAACATTAGTGATTTGCTGGCTAATGTTGTACGTAATAATATTGAATAGCAGTGGAGATAAAAGATCCCCTTGTGCAAGTCCTCTGTTAGTATGTCTTTCATCTAAAATACTACTTCCTTGACCGAACCCTTTTTTAATTGTAAGGTGTCTTTCGTTTAAGAATGACCAAAGATATCCGCAAATACTTTTTCCTACTCCTAATTGGTCGAGAATATTAATAACTTTATCAACTAAAACATTATTGTAGGCATTTTCAATGTCAAGAAAACAAGAAACTGTTGGCACTTTTTTAGCGAAACCTATTTGTATATAACTTACTAATCTTGCTAAACAATCCATGCACGAGTGAGCCCTTCTGAACCCGCATGTTAATGGCGAAAAAATTTGTTTTTTTTTCTATATACCATTCTAAACGCTTAACCAACATACTATGAAAAATTTTACACAAACAGGATATAAGTGAAATAGGTCTAAGCTTGGGTTCAGTATCAAACTCACTACCTAATTTAGGTATAGGGACTATCAATATTTTACGCCACTGACTCGGTACACAGCCCAATCGAAATATAGCGTTATATATATTTAAAAGCAATTCTTTTCCAGACAGAGGTAAATTATAAATCATTGAGAACGTAATACCATCACTACCTGGAACAGTGTCTCGGTTCTTTAAACAACTTTCTAATTCTTGTAAGGTAAAAGGAGTCTCGAGAAGATCATTATTTGAAATTAAAGTAGGGGCGCAATTAGACACAGAGTCTGGCGTTAGAGATCGAAGTAATTCTTTTTGTTTATCATCTGGAACCGAGAGCTGGGTATGCCGAAGTCCTTTAAACCATTGCATCTTGTTCCACATGTCTAAGATAGATGTACACTCGTCAATACTTCCACAAAAATTCCTCCAACTGCAACCTTTCGCCAACCAAAGCTGTTCCCTTACCGCCGTAACTTTGCTCTCCAATATTTCGAGATTATCAGGAGTTGGATTTCTTCTAAAATTCCCCAAAGCCAGTCTTCGTTCTGCCACTAATTTAGAAAAAGATGAACACCAGAATTCTCTTGGTTTAAATTTGTTTGTTGGACCAGTATTTAATCTTAGTAAAGGAATGCGCCTATTAGCTGCGAGGATAATTTGACTTAAAAAAAAATCATAGTGCTTCTGAACATCATTAGTATCAAAATTACAACTATTAAATTGAGACGTAATATTTAACAGGTCGCTTTGATATTTATCCCAATCCGCTTTTTTAAAATTCCACCTTATATTATACTCTACGTTACTACTAAAACACATAGTGATTTTAATCATTAAATGGTCGCTACCTAAATTTTCATTTAATACTATCCATTTAAAATATATTGCAATATCTGAAGATGCAAACGTAATATCAGGCGACGATTTTTGTAACAAACCATTTACCAATTTAATGCGAGTGGAATCTCCGTTATTTAAAGACACAAAGCCGTGATCCAGTGCAGAATCTATTATTTGCAGACCCCTACTATCATTTTTGTATGACTAATTCGTGTGATGGCCATTGAAATCACCCGCTATTATTGTTTTTTTATTTATAACACTAAAAATGTTATCCCAATCTGCTTGACGTGTTTGGACTGACGAAGGAATGTAAACAGAGATAATATTTTCTAAATATTTACAATTTAAAATCTTTACATGGACAATTTCTATACCTGGATTGATGGCATTGACGGAGCAAAGATGTGATTTTATTGATTTATGTACAATGACTGCTACCCCTCCATAGGAGTCGGGCCTATCCTTTCGGTAAACATTGTATCCTCGAATACGAACAGGTGTTAATTCATTCAACCAAGTTTCACATATTATTGCTATATGCACGTTTTCACTACACAATATAGAATCAAAATCAACTAACTTAGGCCTTAAGCTTTGTGAGTTCCACTGAACAATGTTTATATTAAAGTCTTTAGCCATTCCAGAGGTTTAAGAATTTTTCTGCCCACATCCCACCGGAAATATTTTTCATCAATATTAACTTAAACGTTTCAAAAATCGTCTTCAAAACCATAAGGATTTTATCTTCAAACTTATCTTCTGACATAAAAATTTCTTTTAATTTCCAAATCAAGTCACGGATGTTAAACTTTCTGCTTTTCTCTTTATCTTCATCTTTCTCAGTTATCTTATCTATACTATCTTCGTTCTCTGAGCTCGAATCCTCACAATCCATTGATGTTTCCTCCTGTGTGTTTGGTATTTTATCCTTAATTACTTTCTTTCTTTTTTTCTTTGTAGGATTAGATTTTTTTGTTGCATCACTATTCAAATTATTTTCCTTATCTTGAATGTTTACTGAATGTACTTCCACTGTACTTTTTACTACGCTGCTGTATGTTCTAACTGTATTTTTATTCGGATTCTTGCTGCTATTTATTGTGATAACTTCAGTTTCCTCTTTCTTCTTATTCTCCTTTTCATTTCTCAAATAAAGTTCTAAAGCCTTTTTGTACGTAATATTTTCTTCACTCATAATACAGCGAATATTTTTTTCTTTAAGGAAAAAAGGGCAAATTTTGTCTAATGCCATGTGAGGACCGTTACAATTTGGACATTTGTATTCTTCTGTATCACAATTAGTATGATCCTTTCCGCACTTAGGACATATAATTTTATTCAAAGAACAAAACTTTTTACTGTGGCCAAACTTCCAACATCCTGAACATTGTGTTACAGGAAACACAAATTTATCGACTTCGTATTTACAACCATAAGCATCAATGATCTTTGGAATAGACACATTCTTAAAACATAAACGTACTGATTCACTTTCTATCCACTTATTCTCGCTATCTAAACGTTTCATTCTCTTTGCAGATACTATCTCGCACGAGGTTCTTAGATTTTCTAATAATTCTTCTTCACTAATATCAAGGTCTACCCCTCGTATGATCCCATAAGATAAGTTACTTTCGTCAGTAAATTGCGCCCTTATATTCATTTCTGCTAATTTTCGACTTGTAATGAGCTTTTCAGCCTGCTCTTTACTATTAAATACAATAAATATTTTGTATGGACTTTTGTATTTAATCTTACTTACGTTAACTATACATTCATTCCTCAAAAATCTAGCAAAAGCCATCTGTTTCGGCATAATTTGTTGTGAAAATAAACAAACTTCATATTTTTCTTTTTTTGTTGTATAATTACTATTTATGTTTCTGTTTACAACTACATTAGAATCCATATATGACATATTTTCCGTAGAACAACTTCTAATCAAACGTTTTGAACTTTTCTTTTGGACTGTTATAAAACCATCTTCACTGCCGTCTTCACTCTCTCGCGTACGTTTTCCGTTTTTCCGGTTCTCCAATTCTTGTAACTCTCTTTGACATTCATTTAATATCTCCGAATCACTTTTATCTTCATCGCTTGACTTCTCCTCCATTATAAATTATAGAGGGTAGATATATAAAAAACAATATCACTCAATCGTATAATATTACTGCGTGCGTTCGTCACAACGTTCCGCGCGCAACTGACAAAAAAACTTAATGTTACATATATTAAACTTAATGTTACATATATTAAACAAAGGTACACACACACACACACACAACAGGACAGCAACAAAATCAAATAATAAGTTAGTTAAACACCGAATTATGATATAAAAATGATTAAGAGAATAATATTGTGATATTGTCATCAGTGTCTACCCATTAAACCAAACAAATATAGCCCTACAATACTAGAAGTAGTTTAAACTATTATTGTACAACTGTCTCTCAGAGGATACATACAAACTTAGCATACACTCAAATGGCATATCTACGTAATATGCCATAAAGTCTATAACCACAATCCCTAGGGTTGTACTATGAAATGTTTGAAGGGAAAGTTTGATTTCACCGAGTTAATAAAGCAGAATCTGCGTTCACCGTCTTTGAGGTATTGTTCTGACAACGAGATAAATTTCCATAATTACGAATGGTACGTATTACACTTTTGTTTCAAATTGATTGATTGAAAACATCAATTCATCACTCAATATTTTCTCAGATTTCAGGTGACTATTTGATATATTCCGTATCAGAACTATCGCGGAGCTAGAATTTGATACATATAATAAAATTGTAACTAAGCCGAATCTGTATATTTAATATTTATTGTAAAATGTTATTGAAATAAACATTATTATCGATACAGAGGCCGAATTTATAGTTTTTAGAATTTTTGTCTGTCTGTCTGTCTGTCCGTTATCTGGGTCAAAATATAGGATACTTTTTACCGCGGGAAAATGTCTCATTTCTGAGAAAAAATACAAAAATTGTAATGTGTCTTTGTATGGGCTGGCACCGATTTCGAAAATATTTGATTAGGTATGTATTTAATAGGTAGGCTTTAATTACTTAGCCAAAGCACACCGACTTCGAAAATATTTGATTAGGTATGTATAGTAAATGAAAACTACCAATCAGTTATTTTTTACTTTTGAGTGCTTTTGTTTGAAGTCGGTTTTTATTTTTTTGTTAAAAAGTTTATATTTTTCCCTTTTTAGTGTAGACAGTAGTAGCAAAGTAAGAATTCTAAAGTGTCAAACCAAACAAAATAAGCCCAAACTCAAAGTATCTACTATTAGTCGTTGAAGAGTTCCACCTATCCACCTTCTGGCCTTACCATCAGATCAGGTCAACAATACCGAACCACTGTACTATCAACGGAAATAGAAACACTTGCAAAGTTTCAAGTCAATATGACAATTAGAAGTAGGTTAAATTCATCATTAGCTATTTTTCCACCCTTAGGGGTGGTATTTTTTTTGAAATTTAAATGGGACCAATCTGGAAGTATACACTTTCAAACAACACAAAAATTATCCAAATCGGATAATAAATGACGGAGTTCTGAGGTAACAAACATAAAAAAAGATACAGTCGAATTGAGAACCTCTTCCTTTTTGAAGTCGGTTGATAAATATAAACAACCATGTCTGGAGTAGGTACAAAAATTCGTCCCCCCAACGTGCGTTCACCTTGTTGTGGTGGGGGGGCTCAGTAGTGCCCGGCAACCCAACCGGGCGCGAAGCCAAGAAACGCACAGGGAGGTGGCCCACTTCAGTGGGCGGTGGGAGGTGGCCCTCTTCGGAGGGCGGTGTACCATGCGGGTTGCTCCTGGTACTTCTCTGATAGCAGAGTGGACTGTGGAGCAACCCCATGGTTGTGGTGGTCTGCTTCGGCAGACCTGCCGTCGGGGCGTCGTAGTTGAATGCGTAAGCGATCCTGCGACGCCCCATTAAGACGGGGGAAGGTTTTGTTGGGTTTTAGTGGGTAGTACTGGCTGTATTACGCCGGTGAGTCCCACACGTCGTGCGTAAATGCATTTCCCAACGTTAAAAAAAAAAAGGTACAAAAATTCGTGCTCATCACACAAGTTAATGCAAGCGGGACTCAACCTGCGACCGCTGGCACAGCAAGTGGGGTTACTACTAACTGAGCCAAAGTTATAGAAACTGTTCTATTTCATTTATTTCAAAACTCAAATAAAATCGATTTATTCTATTCATATCGAGGATTTGTTTTGAGTTATTTCGCTTGTATAAGCTTACTCGTAACTTTCTCTCTTTAGACGATTTAGGGACTTTCGTTGCACATCAACAGCAGCTTAGCGTAGCGAAAGCTACAATATATGTGTATTATAACAACGTTCTACAGTAGAATTTCAGTTATTCTGAAATTAATACAGCTATTATGCAATAACTTACAACTTTTAAACGAATCTACTCTAATATTTAATCTTTTAAACTCTAACTTTCAAAGCCGCTATTTATATTTCTAAAAACAAAATGCTTTATATCTTTAATATTTAAGATAATTTTCTTCCATGTCCCGTTCGTGTGTTCCACGCGTTCTTTTGTTTTTGTATAAACATCCCAGATTTGTTGTGACTTCTTGCGCAAATCACCATGCAATTCTGTAATAAATATTTGAATTGGTAATACAAGTATTATCTCAATGAGATGTGACGTTGATACTGTTATATATGAACTGCCTCAGTGGCTGATGGTGTAGTGGCTAGCATGTACGGCTGCATGCTGCTGCTGATCCGGAGGTTCTGGTTTCGAGTTTCAGATTAGGCCAAGTTTATTATTGTGCCTTACTGTTAAAAAAGTCTCAGTCACAGTCCGGAGTTGGGAAGTTGGCGGTGTTTCACCTCCGTGCCCCGGAGAACACGTAAAGCCGTCGTTCTTGCGGCTGATCTCTCACTGGTTGTGTCTCGTGTCGTCCCACCGGAGTATGAGAGTGATAGGAATAGAGAGTGCACTTGTGTCTGTACGTACACTTATGCACTATAATATATCCTGCGCAACTAGTCTAAATGAGATTGGCCGCCGTGACCAAAATCGTTCAGGAGAACATTATTATTATAATTTATACTACACTATATAGATATTAAATATAAGAGATATTAAGTATTTCAATGAGTTAGTAGTTAGTACTGCGAAGAAACAGTAAAGGTCTTCGATCCGTAACTTCTCAGATACGCACGCATATTTTAAACAAATTTACACGTCTAACCGCTAGCTACAAGCTAACCATATTATAATCATCTTCAAAGGTTTCTAAACGTCTGCGGTTTGGACACTCGTCCTATTATTTAATTGTTTTTGATGTAAGCAATTAGATTTACATAATAATGTCATGAATTTGATAAGGCTTTAGTGAAACTTGTTTCGTACAGATTTTCATAATTCAACCGACTTCAAAAAAGAGAAATTTCAATTTGTGTGTAATAACGGTCAATATGGAATAGTCGATCTCTTACTCTGTGAAAAATAAAAACAAATATATCAAACGGGAACTGTATATTTGCATGTATTATACATATAAGCCTTCCTATTGAATCTCTCTATCTATTGCCGAAAACTGCATTAAAATCAGTTAAGTAGTTTAAAAGATCTAAGTTAACAGACAGTGGAAGCGACTTCATTTTACACTATGTAAAGATTTTTTAGAAATTTATTTTAATATTTTAGGAATTCGTATTAATCCGTATTTATATTATTAATATTATAAATGTGAAAGTTTGTTAGTATAGATGTTTGTTACTCTTTCGCGCCAGAATCGCTGAACGGATCTGGATGAAATTTGTCACAAAGATAGACTATAGTCTGGAAATAGCACAAAGATTATTTTTTATTTCGGAAAAATGTCCCGTGGGAGAGATATGTTTTTGTCTGGGGGAAGCCGAAATGAAGCGAGGGTGAGTCGCTAGTCTTTCATAAATGCTGTAAGTTAGCAAGATAGATAATATCTAGTAATATACATGCAAATAGTAAAGGCTTAGTCATTCTTCGGGGCTTAGAAGTTGTAATTAAGACGAGAATCGAAAGTTTCAGGTCGATCCTTTAAGACTTAATTTAACAGTTTAATCTGTTGGAATATCTTCATTCAGTTATAATGGTCTTGATGATTCACAAATATTTGAATCACTTTAGGTTTAAAATAATTTAATTTGTTGAATAGAATGCCAGTATTGTTACCGTGGACCGGCCGTTAGTTCAAATCCCGTATGAGGTGATTTTTTGTATTAGGCAGATTGTTTTATACAATACTAACTAGTAGTTAAAACACAATGTAGCATTTCAACTTCGTCACCAAAAATATAGTTTAATTTTTTTTAAGTTTAAAGTATCTATAACTAGGCTGAAACGTCCCGAGGTGCATATCAATAGCTTATGTGTTATTCCAGGTCATAGTCTATTTTGAGCTAAACATCCCAATCCAACCTGCCAATTCCGTGAGAAGAAGATGCACAAGTATACACGCAGACACACGCACACGCACGCACACACACACACACACACACACACACACACACACACACACACACACACACACACACACACACACACACACACACACACACACACACACACACACACACACACACACACACACTTTTTCAATATTAAATAAATTAAATAAACATTTACCTCAATATATAAACGATCTTGTAACTACTAATTTTTCAATCAGTAATATTCTTTTACAAAAGCAACTCAAATTAAGTTAATTAAGTGCAGCAAAAGGAAACGAGAGAATGGAACTCTACTTGAAAGTTATTTTGTATAAAAACTAAGGAGATAAATAATCTGCATCACGTTCTTTTAACTAGAAATCCGGTCTAGAGAAATTGTAGCAATTTTATCCAAGGTAATGCTTCTTTAAGAATTTCTTAAGGCTTTCTAGTTATTTGTCGGCTTTAGTTTATATCTATTAGACAGTTATTACTCTAACGCCTACTAAAGCTAAATAAAGTAAAAAAATTATATTTATTTATATACTAGTAACTCACCCTCGCTCCGCTCAAGTTCACCCCTGGGTACGTTTTAACGGTTAGCATAGATTTTTCAGCGGTGAGATATTTTCCCGCAGTAAAAAGTAT